GGTTTTATTATTCCGATTTTTTTAGCTGAGATGAGTATTTGCCACCTTGGCCCAAATGAAATACGATCGATAAATTGGGGCTAGTCCTATGTAAAATTCTCTGGAAAATCGAATGAAAGTGGTTTCGTCTATACGGCTGATTTTACCAGTGAACTGTATATAGGACTAACCCCATTTTGTCGATTGTGTTTCATTGCGAGCTAAGATATCTCCGATTGCAGCTCATTTTCCACTAATTTCGTGTCACTCCGAGCTGAGCTATTGAATTGTTTCACGTTTTACGTACTTTTTTTCCGCTGTGCACCGTTTTGAATGAGTTCTATCAATAGCGATTTTCTGCAAACACAACCGAAAATTAAACACCAAAATGCTCTGACTTCTATAAAAAGAAAGAGTAAGCAAAAACAGTCGCTATTAGACCACCGAGCACCTTACATCACAACAAACCACTACGATCGACGATCGGCAAAGCCAGGCGACACGAAGCTATCCCTACACATCGGAGACCACCGGTAAACCGCGAATGGAATCGTTACCAGAGAGACAAATTAGAAATCCTCGTCATTGCAAACTTGCCTGAAAGCCCTTTGAGTTGCTCCTGAACTGGCAAACTCGCTATAGGTTAATATTAGACTGCTGTCCTTCCGGTTTCTTATCCGTTGTGAAGTAATGAACCCATTGGTAATAGAAAACATTGAGAAGCTGCTCGACAGAAATCCTCAAACAAGATTAATGGGTCTCTATAACGAGCACATGACGCTGGAGATTGGCCTTTCTTCATTCAATTCCACTCGTGTTTGCCTCCAAGACTTTTGTAGTTCATTTGTAAATTTTGATCTGACCATGTTGCAAGAAATCCGTGGAATACCAGATCACCATCGGTCGATGGTTGTCCCCTTAATTTTTGCAATCAAGTACCACTATGTAAGTAACAATAATAGTTTTTTTTTTCTCAGATGGGTCAACTATAAACGCTTCCACTGGATTTGGAGTATTCAACGAATTTCATAGCGCCTCATATCAACTGCAAAAACCCTGTTCCGTATACGTTGCGGAACTAGCAGCCATATTCTACGCAGTAGAGCAAATTGCCTCACTACCATCTGATTACTATTTTATTTTTACGGATAGCCTTAGCTCGTTGGAGGCTATTCGATCAATGAGGCCGATAAAGCTTCTACCAAAATTTTCAAGAGAAAATTCCCAATGGGTAATTTTCCACAGCGTTTTTCCCGTGATGCAATTTGATGTGGGACTTTATACGTGTCATGTCGAGGCTCATGTCCAATCACTGCTCGTTAGACTCACATTTCTTTCGAATCGGGCTCGCAGGCAGCAATTTGTGCGCTTGTTGTAGTGGTTATCACGAGATTGACCACGTGCTTTGGTCATGCACCCTCCATTGTGTTGCTAGATCCGAGATATCCGCATCCCTCAGGGCCCGAGGAAAACAACCTTTGCGGCCCGTTAGAGACATCTTGGCGAGCCGAGATCTCGACTATTTAAATTTAATTTATGTGTTTTTTAAACGGATCGATCTAAGGATTTAGTAGTTATTGTCATCTTGTATTCTCCCAAGTTGTTAGCTGCCCATTAGACTGATGCAAATTTTGAAATTTTCGTTCCACAGTGCTCAAACGGTTCCAAATCGGGTCCTGATTAGTTTCCCAAAATTTGAACTCATTCGATAAGAAACTGACTTGGCACAAACCATTTGAAGTTTTTATGGAAATTACTATAGGAAAACCAAATGTTTTGTTCATATCCATCTAAAAATTTACCATATCGCTCTGCTTTAAAAAATGATAACTGAGCTCGAAGAAAATTTTCTCAGCTACAACTTTGTGGTTACACTTTTCAATATAATGTAAGCATCAAAAGTTATCAATAATTCAAGCCACTAATGTCTTACGATTATGCTCAATCAACTGTTCAGCAGGCAACATTGGTGTTTCTGGCGCTTGGAATAGAGCACAAAAATCATGGCTACTATGTCACACTGCAAGATACAGTGTTGCTCACAAAACAGCTGCTTGATCATGCCATAAGATTATCAATCTCTTAAACAATTAATAACTATTTTATTTGACGTTTGGCTCAACAACTATATTCTGCTAAGTTGAAGCTGAGAAAATTTTCCATAAGTAAAGCTTTTGAATGTTTGAACAGTGCAATATGGAAAAAGGTAAGAAGACAATGAACAAAAAGTTTTGATTTCCCATAGTAATTTCCATATAAACTTCAAATGGTTTGTGCCAAGTCAGTTTCTTTGCAAATGAGTTCAAATTTTGGGAGACTAATCAGGACCCGATTTGGAACCGTATGAGCACTGTGGAGCGAAAATGTCAAAATTTGCATCAGTCTACTGCCCATGTTTGTCTTTTTCATCAGTATGTCGCTTAGTTCTAGATCAAGAGCACATTGCTCGAAAAAACCTTGTGTTCTCAATCCCTACCCTGCCATTCGTTTGAATTGTAGAGAGTAATTGAAAATGCCTTTCTCGGATTTGGGATCAAACTTCTTCCTTTTCGCTTTCGGTACCAGAGTCATCACGCTCGAGCCAAAAATCTTGAGGTGCTTCAAATTCGGCTTCTTTCCGGTCCACGCCTCTTCCGGCGTTTTCTCTTCCAAGGAACGAGTAGGACATCGATTCACCACGTGAGCCGCGGTCGAAATAGCTTCTGCCCAAAACTCTTTTCCCAGCTTCGCATCGTTGAGCATGCACCGCGCCTTTTCAAACAGCGTGCGGTTCATGCGCTCTGCCGCCCCGTTCTGCTCAGGCGTATACGGGCACGTGGTTTGATGTCGAATCCCATCGGACTCCAACACCTTCCGGAAATCTGCATTCACGTACTCCTTTCCGTTGTCTGAACGCAAGATTTTTAGCTTCTTGCCCGTCTGTCTTTCCGCTTTGGCCTTGAACGACTTGAACGCTTCGAGTGCTTGATTTTTCTGCTTCAAGAAGTAAACCACCACCCGCTTGCTTGCATCGTCCAGGAACGTCATGAAATAACGGCTTCCACCCAACGACGAAATCTCCACTGGTCCGCAGAGGTCGGAGTGTACCAACTCCAACAGTTCTTCAGCTCTTGACTCGCTGCTTGGGAATGAACGCCTCGTATGCTTGCCCTCCAGACAGGCAACACATCCTTCTAACGACCCATCTTGGAAATCTATTCCGTTGGCGATTCGCTTGAGCTTCTTCAAACCACCTTCGTGAAGATGCCCCAGACGTCGATGCCAGAGCTCCATGCCGCTTGCCAAAAACGACTTTTCTGACCAATTGACTCTGTAGAGGCCACCTTCCTCGACGCCGGTGACAACCAGATCACCGTCTTCGTCCCGAACTTCGCATCTGTCTTTGGTGAAAATAACAGTTTTGCCCTTTTTGCAGATCGTACTTACCGATAACAAGTTGGTGGCTAGGTCGGGAATCTTCAGAACACCGCTGACATCGATTCGACCATCGTTGCTGTCCAACACGACTGAACCCTTCGCTACGACCTTCATAGTGGCATTGTTCGCCGTTCCGACGTTGTGGTCCATCTTGACTTCATCGAGAAATTTCTGATCCGGCCGTGCCATGTGGCAAGTGGCACCCGAATCGAAATACCATTCACTGGTGCTGACGTCTCCCATGGCAAAAATGGAACAGAGACCCTTGTGTTTGCTCGCCTTTGCTTGCTGCTGCTTCTCCGGACACTTGGCAGTAAAATGACCCGGCTTCTTGCAGGTGTAACATAACTTTTCGCCTTTGCTACCGTCCTTGGATTCGCTTGGCTTCTTCCGGTTCGCTTTACTGTACAGGGCACCTTCCGCGCCGCTGCTGACCGGACCACGATTCAGCTTAACGTCTTGTAGAATTTTGGATTTCACTGCATCCGCTGTCAAAGCCGCTCCAGAGGCTTCGAGTCCCATTATCATGGGCTCGTACTGATCAGGAAGACCCATCAGCAACATCGCCGCGAGCCAGGAATCGTCCACCTTAAAGCCCACGGATGCAAGCTTGTGGCTTGTGCTCATTAATTCGTCCACGTACGCCTCAACGCTAGCACAGTTGATCAGCCGTACCGACGTAAATTTTCTGAGCAGTCCAATCTTCCTGGTTAGTGCACTGTCCTGGAATGCAGATTGCAGCTTCGTCCAGGCTTCCTTTGCTGTAACCGCATCCTGCACCAGACTGTAATTGTAGCTCTCGAGGCTTAAGCAAATCGTAGCCAGAGCCTGCAACTTCAAATCCTCAGGAACACCTTCTCCGTCTCCGTCGATGGCAGACCAGCTTCCTTCACGGATTAGGATCATCCGCATCGCAAATGCCCACGTCGTGTAGTTCTCCCGGCCTCTTAGTTTGTCAATGGCTGGCAGTGCCACGGAACTTCTGGTGACTCGAACGCTTCCAGCTTCAGTCCTTCCGTTTCCGTTGGCGCCTCCATCTCCTTGACCTTGCTGTCCGGATCCTAAACTTCCGCCTGTGGACATACTTCTTCTGGTCTTGAAATTTTAGAGTCTTCCGGTTAGGTATCCTGGGCCCATAACCAATTGTAGAGAGTAATTGAAACACGTCTTTATCGGTTGACGTTGAACAGTGGAATGAAAATTTTATTCAGAAACTTAGCAACTAATAACAAGTGCATATAGCGACGCGAATTACTGGGTTGCTACGATCACAATAGTTTGTTACAATTTGTTACCCCTAACCTCGAGATAGAAACGATGAATATCGGCTCCACAAACCTACGGCAAGTGAGCCTGGAAAAATAAAAGCATTAATAAAAATCTTACTAGTAAAAACCGTGTGTATCAATCCAACGGCCTAAAAACAGCTCTCAAACGAACAAAAAAGCTAACGGGACCAGTATTACAATTGTTTACCACCCCTGCTGTGCATCTTTCCTTGAGCTCAGCGACCGTAGTTTTGTTTTTGATTGTTCAAAATGTCAATCTACTTAAACGGGAAAAGGCTTTCTTTCGAATTAACGTTCTGAAAATTCTCGTTTACCAGAGCTTGGTACCGTCCAGCGAGCGGTATTCTGAGTTCAGTAATATATTTTTCAAAAATAAAGCATTCGTAATACAGTGATGCTAGTTCCGCGTTTTCAACGTTGGTTCGTAAAAGTATGTAAAATAAATCTGTAGCAAGTGTTGGTTGGAGTCTGACAAATTTTGTTTTCGATTTTCGGTTTTGGATTTCACTCTGATGTACGGTTTTGTTTTGTTTCATTCTCACGGCGATTGAATCTAACAGATATATTTAGTTTTTGGGCTTTCACTCTTCTACCATAAGCTAAGTTTACATTATGCTTTTCAATTGCTACTCTAAGCAGCATATGTTTGTTTGGTGTTGTGTTGCTACAACTCACGTTGCTCTAAATTCGTCTAAACAGGTGCAGATTAGTCTTATCATTTTTGTTGTTGTTGTGGTGTAAGTTTAAAACTTTAAAGCGTCATCACTAGAAATGGTTTTTCTTTTTCTTTTAGAAAACTATCACCCGAAACTATCGACTAAATTAAAATGTGTGTGAATGTGTGTGCGTGTCTTTCGGAGGAGCTACTCCCCGTCGTAAAAACTTTTCCTTTCGCGGTGCATTAAAAGTTCTCGTCACTAACAGTTTCTCTACGTTCCTACAAAATTTGGCTAGATTTAGTTTTGTTTGTTCCACGTGAAATGTTTAAAACTTAATGCTCTTCTTCTTTTAAGGCCTTTAAAATTTCGCTTCTAATTCTGCTACTGATCTCTTCGCTACTTTCATCGCTAGGTTTCAGCTTAAAAATTGATATGTAATCCGGTTTGGTTTTGATTATCTTGGTCAGCGCTTCACACTGCTCGGGTGGAAGCTCTAGCACAGCGTCTATCAGCGGTCCTACGCCCTGGTGCTCATCTTTGGAAGCAAATATTATGTAAGCCGCTTTGATCCCCAGCTTGAGCCCGTTGCCTATACAAACACCGTCCGTCGTGTTAAGACTCATCTTGAACTGATCCTGACTTTTCATCGAAGCGTAAACCTTCAACAACATTTCAGCCAACTCGGTACCGGGTAGATTTTCCCTTTCGGCTTCCCCGGAAATGAGCCTCACCAAATCTACATCGCTCGCACAGAGCAGCCTCAACTCACCGAACAACTCCCGGTCCCGATCGGTGCCCACCGCCTGTAGAATGTCAAACAACTTCTGCACCTCTGCAGGTTCCAACTCAAGCAACGTTTCTATACTAAACTTGAACCCATCGATCGTGATGACCTTGGTGTTGGTCTTGTCCGAAGCAATCGTCACATTGTTTTGCAACGAATACTTCACGATCCTCAGCCCGATGTCAATCGCCCGCGAATCATTATTGAAATACTCACATAAATGGTCCTCAAAACCGAACAGCTTCAATGCCACGATCGCATTGTTCTTCATCATCAGCTCCGCCTGGCGGATGCTGATCACCGTCTTGGTCCAGAAGCAGATCGAGGCTGCATGCGCCAGGCGCGTCTCGATACTTGCATTGTAGTAATTGGAATGCATCGCCGACAGGGTGTCGCAAATTACCAGATCGCTAATGATATTTCCTGCAAAGCGAGAGCAAAATTAGATGTTATTCCGTTCAAACAGCAAAACCGTCATACCAGTTTCGTTGATGAAGTTGCACACCTTAAACCCGGTGGCGATGCTGTGGCTGGTGGAAGCAACCCCCGAGAGGGCCGATATGTGCGGCATAGTTCCGAAGGTGAGCACGTGGGCCGTCAGGCTGAGCCACGCCGTGCGGGATTCCGAGTCGCAGAACGGATTCAGCGATTCCTGGTGGGCACTTTTGTCGCGCAGGACATCGATCGACCGACCTGTGGCGTAGATGGCCGAACCGACACTGGCCGCGATGAAAGGGGTGGCCAGGCCACCCGACAGAAAGATGGCACCCGTGGCACCGGCGATACCTGCTCGAGAGAAAAGAGAATTTGCCACAATTTGTGTGAGACTAACGTACTTGAGAGTGATTACAACGAAAAATCAACCAACACTCACCAATGATTCCGGTAGCAATATCCAACGCCTTGAAGTAGTAGTTCTTCCACGCCGGTGTTTTGCCAATATCATAAACCACATTCTTCAAATTGGTCGCCACCAACCGTCCCTCCTTGGGGTACATCATCTCCGCCGACGGGTACTTGTTGTTCTTCAGAAAATCTTCAAAATGCTGATACACCCTCCCAATGGAATCGATAAACTTCGGCTCCGTATCCGTCGCCTGCTGGAATTGATACCGAAACAGTGGCACCTCGTACAGTTTCCCTTCGCTGAACAACTCGATCGGCAGGATTGTCAACCGGCACGTAACGTTCCGATGGATACCGTTGTAAATCTGCTGAACGAGCTTATCGATCGTTTTGCGCGATTCCTCATCGTAGAAGCAGAGCTGTTCCATGTACTCAAGCTGCAGTTCCTCATCGGTCCACTCGTTTGGATCCTTCATGGTGAGGCTCAGCACGTAGCCGAGCGTATTGTCCAGGCTGATTCCCTGCAACAGCTGTGGTTCGTCACCCCTGCAGCTACCTCCCCTGTTGAGAAACTTTTTCATGTTCTCCTGGGCACGGTCGATCCAATCCTCGCGTGAAACTTCCATCGTGCAAATGCAGTGCGGGGGCTAATTAGCGAATAAACAAATTTGCACGGCTTCTACGTTTTGCACCTTCTGCAAACAAACGCTGATAACATATGATGATCTCATTCGTGAAGCCACTGATTGAACCAGCAGCAGCTGGGGTTGATTTGCGCGTGGAACCTGAGGGTGGAAGAGGGTGTCTGTTCGATGGTGACGATCGAGATGGAAGGCATTATCCACGGAGATTGTCTAGAAAACAAAACATTTGCATCCTTGGCTGTACATAAAAGAGCGTTAAAAGTGCGACCATACAGAAGAAGATACATGTAGCATTGATGAGAGAGCGTGAAAAATCAATAAAATCTAATCAATGCGGGAAGGCATTTTTTTACATTTGTGACCTTGGGGCAATTAGTAGTCTCAAAATCATTCACTAGCTACAAATGCAATGCAGTAATAATCCATTTTGTACAATTTCAAAACTTTCTTCTGTTATATAAATAGAATTCAACCTTAGGTTTGTACTTACATTTTCCCAGAAGCCTTGCTGGGGTCAATTGCGCGCTTCTTTAATTCAAACTGATATTCATCGCTTGTCACAATCAAACGTAATCCAATTTCCCTTATCAAGCTGAAAGCGAATGATTGCAATATGTTACTAATTAGAAAACTGACAATGGACAAATCACACACAATATTGTTGATGAAGTAGAACCAAAAAAAAATACAATGACCGCAGCGCTGCCTGTACAGAGTCAGCTCAACCCGTACAGTAGCGATGGAACACGGTAAATGACGATGGGCGTTTTTCTTTGTACTTACGAACCTACGTAGATGGCACCTAGTCGATACGGGGGCGGGGTGGTACAGGGGAGACGTCAGGAAACACAACGATGGGGCGTCCTCCCTCAAGCGTGCATTTGCTTCTAGTCTCACAGTACTTTACACCACTTCCGCTCGCTCAATCCGATTTCTCTCTGTTTGTTTTGATGTAAAGAAAACCGCGACTTGATCATCACCTTCCGCTACCACCTCAAATTCGCACCAATCTTATCACTAGCTGCTCCACACAACGTGATGGTTCTTCAACTATCCACCCGCGCCAGTAAAGTTTAAAAACATGAGCTGATGGCGACAAAGAAGCTGAAAAAGAAAACACAAAACACAATGCTGTCAAACAGATCAGCTGGTGTGCGTGCGTGTAGGGCTGTGCGATTATCAAAGACCGTTACATAACGGGACTCATTGATGAAAAAATTATAACGTAACGCCTGAGTTCGGTAGCCCGAGAAAAAAATATCGATTATTGGCAAATCAAAGTTGGCACTCGTGGAGAATAGATGAACTATGAAAGTTTATTTTTTTTTTTTTTCTTTATTTTAGAGATTTTTAGCCTGAGGCTAGTTCATCTCTTAACTATGAAAGTGATGATGGTTTCAAAATGTTACACGGTGAGGTACAAGAAACGAAAATCAATTATTTTATCCATGTGTTTCACTTATACATTTTTGCCAAAACATCAGCCTTATACATTCCATAAGACAAACCACATAGGTCCTATAAGAATGCATAAAAGGTATGTGTGACCGCTTATACATTTCATTTGACACATGATCTTCATTAACTTTTTGCAAGGCGTCTGCTTATACATTTTATGAATAATCAGCAATAGAAATTTGCCAAAAGGTATAAGGAGATTTCTTATCCGTGTATACGAGTTCAATCTTAAAATGCCTTTGCCTTTTTTTTATTTTGCAAATAGAGCATTTTATTTAAATCTGGTTAATGCTACGTTATTAGAAAACTTAAGGACTAATAAATAGATATATAATATAGAAAAAAATAATTTCTTTTGAGATTTTCAGGTGTATGCATAGATTTTCCTAGTAGATTTCAGCTTTTCTGCAACTGTAGCAACAACCAGATTTAAATACAATGCTCCATTTTCAAAATAAAAGCATTTTAAGATTGCACTCGTATAGCTCTCCGTGGAAATTTTTTAAAACCATCATCACTTTCGTAGTTCGTCTATTCTCCACGAGTGCCAACTTTGATTTGCCAATAGAGATTAGTGACGTTTAACGCATGCACACTAACGGAGGTCTATCGCCGTGTAAAGAAGTTTATTGTTTTCTTCGGGTTAACCTCAAAATGTATGTAATTCGATCTGTCAAAATGAGTTTGACAGCAGTTTGTTATGTATTTTTCTCGGATTTTCACTGACACAGTTTCACACAGTGCACCAATACAACCAGGCGTGAAAATCTCTATTGGCGAAGATAGCCCCAGTGCCGAGTAAGAGAGGTGCCACAGTCGGAAAAAGTGTTAGTTTGTTTACTTAAATGAACCATGCCCATTTTGCTATGGCAAGTTTGCTATAAGAAATGCTCCTCGTGTTTATTAGCGAAATTCACATCAAAGATTGATTAATTGAGTAGGAAATCAGTTTGGCACGGCATTTGTGACCAGCATACACCTTCAGGTCGTACGAAACAGGTCAAAAACAGTCCAAATCCGCAGATAAAAAATTTTGTTTTGAATTTCTGTATGGCAAAATAGTGAACTTTTCGTGAACATTAACGGCACAGAACTCACCAACACTGGGAGACCGTGAGTTCCTGCCCACCTGTCATTTCCCATCTTGGCCCCAGTGGAGAATAGAAGAACAAACTATAACTTAATGGGTGAATCTAATTGGCAAATCAAAGTTGGCACTCGTGGAGAATAGAAGAACTATGAAAGTGATGATTGTTTAAAAAATTTCCACGGCGAGGTATACGAATTCAATCTTAAAATGCTTTTATTTTGCAAATGAAGCATTTTATTTAATTCTGGTTGTTGCTACAGTGGTAGAAAAGCTGAAATCTATGTATACACCTAAAAATCTGAAAAGAAATTATTTTTGCTGTATTATATGTCTATTGAGTAGTCCTTAAGTTTTCTATTACCGTAGCACTAACCAGATTAAAATAAAATGCTTCATATTCAAAATAAAAGCATTTTGAGATTGCACTCGTATAGCTCACTGTAGGATCTAAGCAACCATTGGTTTTGTAACAACTTTAAAGCATGAGAATAAATATTCATTATCAGTTGTACCTCGGACCGAACCAGACGTTTCTACATTTTGGCGACGAGCGATAAAAGTTACCCACGGATTTGGACACTCCACCCCAGAAAATTTTACTCGGACCCCCGTGAGATGGCTTGGCCTATGGTGAGTACTTGTGATAAAGCAGATTTTCGAGAGAGTTTGCAGTGGAAAATTCTAATGTACCAAACCTGAAATCATTTCCGTGGATAGAAAATTCTTAGGGATGATTTTACCTGAGAAAATTGAATTTCAATTTCTCCCGTAAATCCGGAATTTAACATCCTAAGAAATAGAGGCAGTTCAGGGTATTTTTTTTCGGAATGAAAATGCTAATCGCTTAGGGATGATTCTCACTAAAACAATTTTGTTGATGACGTGAGACCCGGTGATTCTGGAAAATTCTAAACAAAATACGCGGAACCCATAGCAACGGGATGAAGTACGCAGTGAAATATGTAAAAAGTATAATTATGTGGAACCCAATGTTTCATGGGATGCAGTACGCAGAAATTCCTAATGTGAAAGAAAGCGGAACCTTTCGTTTGGAATGAAGTACCCAGGAAAATATGAGATATTTTAAGCGGAATCCGACGTTTAAGGATGTAGTACGCAGTAAATCCATAGAGGTAACTCTAAGACCACTGGGTCCCGAAGAAAATCATTATTATTTTTGGCTCACTCAGTACCAGAACAACGGTCCCAAGCAGTCCCAAGCTATTTAACTCACCCCTGCATGTTCTGCATGAATCCACACACCCCTGATGTTATCTGTCAAACTTTCATAGCGAATCAAAACAAACATAGTGTAGTAATAGAATTTCAACTAGAATAGGGTACGTTAATCGTTTGCTTGGGACCAATAGGCTACTAAAGTGGTGAGCCAATTTAAAATCGTTAGTTTCGTATTGATTGTTGGTAAATCCATAGAGGTAACTCTAAGACCACTGGGTCCCGAAGAAAATCATTATTATTTTTGGCTCACTCAGTACCAGAACAACGGTCCCAAGCAGTCCCAAGCTATTTCACTCACCCCTGCATGTTCTGCATGAATCCACACACCCCTGATGTTATCTGTCAAACTTTCATAGCGAATCAAAACAAACATAGTGTAGTCCCAACAAACAATTGAGAGCTCTTATAAAACACCTGAGTTGATCAAACGTTGAATAATAGCTTCCAGAGTTGAACAAGAATGTAGTTGTATTGCCATTTGATTAAAAGTTTTAAAAGCTGTTGGAGCACTCTTAAATGATTGTTTACGTTCGGTTTAACTATATGCTTTATAAGACCTACGATAACTTTTATAGCACCTTAGTTAAACTGATTCACAAGAGCTTTACAGAACGTGGAATAAACGCATCAAAACAAACCATTGGGAGCTCTTATAAAACACCTGAGTTGATCAAACGTTGAATAATAGCTTCCAGAGTTGAACAAGAATGTAGTTGTATCATAGAGGTAACTTTAAGACTAGTAGGTCCCGAAGAAACGTGCTCAACTTTTTGGCTCAACTCTGGTACTATCTTCGGTCCCAAGCTAGTCGATTCACCCCTCGAAACATAGGAAAATCCAATAACCCCTCATTTTATCTGTCAAACTTTCATAGCGAATCAAAACAAACATTGCGTAGTAATAGAATTTTGACTAGAATGGGGTACGTTAACCGTTTGCTTAGGACCAATAGGCTAGTCAAGTAGTGAGCCAATTTAAAATCGTTAGTTTCCACCGGATGGTTGTATTGCCTTTTTGGTTAGAAGCTTCAAAAGCTGCTTGGAGCACTCTTAAATGATTGTTTACGTTCGGTTAAACTGTTTGACAGGAGCCATATAGAACGTGGAATAAACGCATCAAAACAAACCATTGGGAGCTCTTATAAAACACCTGAGTTGATCAAACGTTGAATAATAGCTTCCAGAGTTGTACAAGAATGTAGTTGTATTGCCTTTTTGGTTAAACGCTTCAAAAGCTGCTTGGAGCACTCTTAAATGATTGTTTACGTTCGGTTAAACTGTTTGACAGGAGCCATACAGGATGTGGAATAAACGCATCAAAACAAACCATTGGGAGCTCTTATAAAAAACCTGAGTTGATCAAACGTTGAATAATAGCTTCCAGAGTTGAACAAGAATGTAGTTGTATTGTCTTTTTGGTTAGAAGCTTCAAAAGCTGCTTGGAGCACTCTTAAGTGATTGTTTACGTTCGGTTAAACTGTTTGACAGGAGCCATACAGGATGGTTGAATAATAGCTTCCAGAGTTGAACAAGAATGTAGTTGTATTGCCTTTTTGGTTAGAAGCTTCAAAAGCTGCTTGGAGCACTCTTAAATGATTGTTTACGTTCGGTTAAACTGTTTGACAGGTGCCATACAGGATGGTTGAATAATAGCTTCCAGAGTTGAACAAGAATGTAGTTGTATTGCCATTTGGTTAAAAGCTTCAAAAACTGCTTGGAGCACTCTTAAATGATTGTTTACATACGGTTAAACTGTTTGACAGGAGCCATATAGGATGTGGAATAAACGCATCAAAACAAACCATTGGGAGCTCTTATAAAACACCTGAGTTGATCAAACGTTGAATAATAGCTTCCAGAGTTGAACAAGAATGTAGTTGTATTGCCATTTGGTTAAAAGCTTCAAAAGCTGCTTGGAGCACTCTTAAATGATTGTTTACGTTCGACCAACCACCAACCACAATTTTGTTGCTAAAAATAGCACAAGTGATAGGCACGTTTATATGACCATAAGGCAATGATTATTCGACTGCAAGAGAAGCTACTCAAGATGAGCTTCATATACTTCTCTCATATGATCAAAATATGTATTCAAGAATAGAGCAGATGGAAACAGAAGCGGCTGGCAATCCGGGATCATGAGTTCGAATCTTGCTTCGAGAAACCCTCGGTGGAGTAGAGGTAAATTATATATATAGGTGTTTATTAATAAATGCAAACATTAATTTAAGACATATATCATATAACACTAGTTTACAAAACAACATAAAAAGTGTGAACTTTAGAGGTTGACCAACGTTTCTAATGCAAAATCCTACGCTGAATTCAATGCCGTGGTCAGAAAAAATTAAAGTAGAGCCATTTTTGAGATATACAAAAATTTTGATTTTTTGAATTTTGGACAAAAGTACGATTACTAAAATGTCAATATCTTTGGAACTAGTGCACCAATTTTAAATCTTTTTTTATGAAAATGAAGCTAAATAAATTTGCTATCGTTCACTACAATATTATGTCTTGATTAAAAATTTAATTTTGAAGTCATTTAAAAATTTACAGCATTTTTTTTATTTTTCCTGCGAATTTTCCATAAAAATCTTGTTTTAATCAACATTTTTAATAGGATAAAAAGATTCAAAAAATCATTCCATAATTTATTCTTAAAGTCCATTAAAATCTGGAGAAAATGAGCCTTTAATGGAAGAAATCGGTTGGAAATTGTCGAAGTTATGAAATTTTTTGTAAAATCATGGAAATTGAATGTTCCAAGATTGGCCGTTGTCCCGCTCCTAGGTTCATGCACCACTTCCAGTAAGCCTTTCTGCGGACGTGTACGCATACGGTGCATTTCACTTACACTACCAGCTGTCACGCAAAATTAAATGGGATATTTTCAACAATATAATTTACGCTAGTGTTTGTGAGACCGCTCGGCGAGAACCTAACGCAACCAACTCAATTTGACAGCTTTCTTTCTTTAACATTGCTTAACGATGTATACGACAAAACGTGAATTCAAGTGTAAAAATGATCCTCAAAAGTTTTGTTACGCGTGTGGCAACTATATATTTACAAAATCGGTCAATAGAGTTCTCTACCACCTTTAGTATTAGTGAGCAGTTTCACTAATACAAGAATTTTACTGGTTGAAAATAAAAAACAAACCGCTGTCAAGTCGAACACTTTGACAGCTGATTTCGTGGTTGAAAATAATAAACAAATCGATTTTACACGGCTACACTAGCAACGTTGTATTGGTGAAATCAATTTCACTGCTTCGTTGCAAACTGCATACAGGCTTTATTTTAAAATTGATCCTGGAGACTTTGACGAACCGTGGATTCCAAAAGTATTATGTAGTTCGTGCAAAACGTGCTTGGCTAGGTGGATATCAGGCGCAAGGTAAATTGATTTTTTGAATAACTTTCATATAAACAATTTATGTACAGCATGGTAGTGCTTTATTCTTTCCTGATCGACATTATCTTACTTCATCTATTTTTGATAAGTGTTAATGTCTTACTTACTAACTCACTTATTTGTTATCTGTCAGTCACTATTTGTCCTTTGACATGCCCACCATATGGCGTCGACCGTTTTGTCATGCAACGGATTGTTATTTCTGCTTGACAAAAGTTAAGCAACAAGGACGTCACAAAACAGTTGAGTATCCACAAGTGGCTTCTATGACAAAACCTATCATAGAAAAGGAACTCTAAAGCTGTTGTATTTCAGCAACATTTTTAAGTGTTTTACAAAAATGCTCATAACTTCGACAATTTCCAACCGATTTCATCCATTAAAGGCTCATTTTCTCCGGTTTTGAATGGACTTTAAGAACAAATTATGGAATGATTTTTTGAATCTTTTTATCCCATTAAAAATGTTGATTAAAACAAGAATTTTATGGAAAATTCACAGGAAAAATTTAAAAAAATGGTGTAAATTTTTAAATGACTTCAAAATTAAATTTTTAATTAAGACATGATATTCTAGTGAACGATAGCAAATTTATTTAGCTTCATTTTCATAAAAAAAGATTTAAAATTGGTGCACTAGTTCCAAAGATATTGACATTTTAGTAATCGTACTTTTGTCCAAAATTCAAAAATTCAAAATTTTTGTATATCTCAAAAATGGCTCTACTTTAATTTTTTCTGACCACGGCATTGAATTCAGCGTAGGATTTTGCATTGGAAATGATCATCACCTTACCGAGTTCAAAAATGCTGTAAACTAGTGTAATCAACGATAACATTTCTAGATAAATTATCTCAACTAATTATTAGAGAGATTAATTGAAAGAATATCAATCAAAGATTAAACCGATGCTAGTTACTACTTCCTCCATGATCACAGAATGTGAATTATGGCATAATTACATATTTTTTCAATGTGCTCAAATAAATTAAATTAATAAAAACTGTACAAGCAATTATTTTGGCGTACCACGACAATTGTTAAATTAATTTTAATCTGTGAATATTGTGAGTACTTACACAACGGTTATTAAGGAGTCATTAAAAAGTGCTATAAACGCTTTTCACCGCTTGCTGTACAATGATTATTTAGGAGTCATAAAAGAGTGCAACAAACGCCTCTCAGGTTCACTCTCTACTAAATTTCAAAGCAGCTGTCAAGAAGTGTCTACAAACGTTGTATAAGAGCTTTCACCAAAATAATAAAGCTTGAGTTTAAATATGTATCTATAAACGTTGTATAAAAGTTGCTTCTACTCCTATACCGCGTATACATATAATGCTGTAGTTGAACAGGTTCTCCAAACCAGTGTAAACAAGAGTTTTACAGCAGTTGTAATAAACAAATTGTACAGTTATTATTCAGCATGCAGTTGAATAAAATCACAATGGAAGCGTTTCTTCAATAAGAAATTGATTTTGGGCAAACGTTTTACTGAATACGTTAGACAACACCTTTGTGTTGCAGTTGTATAGGTTCTCCAAACGAGTGTAAACAAGGGTTTTATAAAAGTTGTGGTGAACACATTGTGCAATTATTATTCAACATGCAGCTGAACAAAATCAAAACGAAAGCGTTTCTTCAACTGGAAATTGTTACTTGGGGTAATAGAATTTCAACTAGAATAGGGTACGTTAATCGTTTGCTTGGGACCAATAGGCTACTAAAGTTGTGAGCCAATTTAAAATCGTTAGTTTCGTATTGATTGTTGGTAAATCTGAACTTAGAGAATGTTAAATGCGGAACCCAACATTTGGGATGGAGTACGCAGAGTGATACTGTGTATATGTATTTCAGTGCGGAACCTGAGTTTTGTGTAGTACGCAGATCACATGAATTTTGATAAAAATACGTCACAGACGTAGTGTAGCTCGTAAAGTACCTTAAAATGCGTGTTTTCTAGGTAAACCAGTTGATCCCTCCGTTTGCCGAAGATGCCGACGGACCAGTGTCTGCCCGCTGGGAGAAATGGCGTGAACATTTTGAAGCATACCTAGCATGGAAGGACGTTGACAATCAGGAGGAAAAATTCAAATCCCTGATGATGTTCGGTGGACCAGACATCCGGAAAGTGGTCAAGCAAGTTCATGTTGACGAATCACACGCTATGGAGAACCGGTACCACATTGCCATGTCAATGTTGGACGATTACTTTGTACCGAGACTCTCGAAAACGTTCGAACGTCAGAAGTTCCGCGAGATGAAACCAGCTGTAGGTGAAAAGTTTGACACTTTTGTCATCAGACTGAGAAAGCAGGCAGCCTACTGTGATTTTGGAGATCAGCTGGAAAGCATGGTAGCTGACCAAATTATTACAACTACAACGGATGTGAGTCTGAAGAGGAAGTGCCTGGAAAAAGACTTTAACTTCAAGGAGATCGTAACGATCGGTCGTACCCACGAGTCTGTTCAAATACAGATGAGCGATTTGGACAATCGGAACGGAAACTTACAAAAAGTCAGCGCTGTCGAAACGGAGGCCAATGAAGAGTCAATTTTGAAGGTACGCTCCAAACTCGGAGGACCAAGGCGGTTCAGATGTTTCCGATGCAATGGCAGACATGATTCGAAAGATCCATCGTGTCTAGCCAAATCACTCGAATGCAGAAGTTGTGGTCAAGTGGGACACTTTTCCCGCTGCTGTTTTCTAAAAACGAAGAAGACCAACGGACAACAAAGATGTCGGGATGCTTCACCAGTGATGGACATTTATTGATGAAAGATCAAATAATTGTAATTCCTCGAATCCTACAAACCCAAATTTTGAAGCTTGCACACGAACCTCACCTTGGAATTGCAGCAATGAAACGTCGACTACGATCTAAAGTATGATGGACTAGGATGGACTCTATGGTAGAGAAATTCGTCCAATCTTGCACAGGATGTACGCTTGTATCAGAACCTGATACACTTCCTATAACAAGAACCGAGATGCCTAACGGACCGTGGAAGAAAATAGCGGTGGATTTCATGGAAATTCCTGGCGGTTACCATTTGCTTGTAGCGACAGACTACTACTCCCGGTACGTTGAAGTTGCTATACTTACTTCAATGACAGCAAAAGTAACAGTCACTAAAATGAGGGAAATTTTTGCAAGGTTCGGCTATCCTATTGAAGTTGTTTGCGATAATGGTCAGCCATTTTCTTCAGCAGAATTCTTGAATTTTTGTCAGACAAATGCAATCTCAATCAAGCATACAGTTCCTTATGCAGGTTTTCAAAATGGATTGGTCGAGAGGCAAAACAGAACTTTATTGAAGACCTTGAAAATAAGCTGTACTATGGGACGTAATTGGCGGTATGATCTACAAGATTTTCTTCACTCTTACCGAGCAACACCTCACAGCATAACAAAGTTTTCACCGTCGGAATTGATGTTTGGGTGGAACATTCGGGATAAAATACCAGGAAACTCAAGACCAGTCAATGAAACTGAAGCAAGAGAAAACGATAGGAAGGCGAAAGAAAAAGGAAGAATGTATGCGGATTCAAAAAGGAGAGCTAAGCAATGCAATATCATTGTTGGAGATTATGTGATTGTGAAAAATTTTGTCAAGAAAAATAAGCTAACAACCACTTTCAACCCCGAACCTCATCTTGTGATACAACGCGACAGATCACGGCTCCACTTGAAGAACATTAAAAGCAGTGTGATCTCCAATCGACACGTGAACCACACCAAACGAATCCTAAATGCGAATCCCATGATGAAACAGAAGAATGACGCAGATAATCATAAAACCTCTGAGGGCACACAAGAAGAAGATGACATGGGACCAGCCATTCCAACTGCTGCTGAACGTACCACGAATCCAACGGAACAACCCTCTACCAGCCAAACTACTACGGAACCTCAGATGGTCTCACGATGCGATGGTCGAAAACGCCCTTTTGAGACTAGCCGAGCTACCAGCAAGCGCTCGAAACATGTACCTAAATACTTAGCAGATTACAAACTTTGAATATATTAAATTTTTAAAATATTAAACGTAAGGAGGGAATGTAGGATCTAAGCAACCATTGGTTTTGTAACAACCTTAAAGCATGAGAATAAATATTCATTATCAGTTGTACCTCGGACCGAACCAGACGTTTCTACACTCACCATGTAAAATTTGAAAACCATCATCACACTCATAGTTCATCTATTCTCCACGAGTGCCAACTTTGATTTGCTGATTGGCAAATCAAAGTTGGCACTCGTGGAGAATGGAAGAACTATGAAAGTGATGATGGTTTCAAAATTTTCCACGGAGAAGTATACGAGTGCAACCTTAAAATGCTTTTATTTTGAAAATGGAGCATTTTATTTGAATCTGGTTAGTGCTACGGTAGTAGAAAACTTAAGGACTACTCAATAGACATATAATACAGCAAAAATAATTTCTTTTCAGATTTTTAGGTGTATACATAGATTTTAGCTTTTCTACCACTGTAGCAGCAACCAGATTTAAATAAAATCAAATATATTATATTAACAATATGATCCACTCTTTCGCTTAGCTGGCGAACCGAATTTTTAGCGATGAAAGCACCTCTGTGGCCAAAAAGGCTACCAATGTATTTGTTTATCGTCACGAGGGGTAAACCAAATGAAAATTTGTTTAATATTTCTAATGAATGTATTTCAGCATTTTATATTATTCGATGACAACTGTGATATGTCAGACAAATTTTAAAGTAATATACACAATGTAATTAATGAAAATAATTTGACTCTTAGTTTTGTAATAAGTGCTATATTCGCACCCCTCGATTGTAATTGAATGATTGTTGCTGATCTTTTTCAACGCTAGATGGTGCGTGAAGCAATATTTTGCGGGTCGCCATTGCAACATTTGGAAAAGGCATGAATGGATCATATTGTTAATATGATATATTTGATGAAATGCTACATTTGAAAAATAAAAGCATTTTAAGATTGCAGTCGTATACCTCCACGTGGAAAATTTTGAAACCATAATCACTTTCATAGTTCTTCTATTCTCCAAGAGTGCCAACTTTGATTTGCGAATAGAATCGTTTAAGCCTCTGGTGGTGAATAAGGGAACCATCAAAAGAGTGATGAGGGCTAAAAGTTTCGCCGTGAAGCATACGAAGACGAAAATGTTTTTACCATTTCTGATTAATTTATCCATCGCAGGTGTTTGTAATCATCATCTGCATGGAATATTTTGTTTCCTGTATCGATTTTGCAGTGATCCGGCTTTTGCAGTGATACCGATAGAAATATGCAAGATACGCATAACAATATGCGTTTATTTGAAATGTAAAAAAATGTAATTTTGATGTAAACAAACGGTTTGGTTGACGTTTCCTCTCATAATTGCTTAGCGCACTCTACATTGGTGGTGCATAGAAACAGCCTATACGCCTTTTTAATAGAAATTAAGTGATCGATTCCACCTCTGGTGGTGAATAGGAGAACGTCAAAAAAGAGTGTTGTGAGCAGAATTTTTTACACTCGATGAGACATAGGAATGCGGAACACTATTTTACTTTTCCTGATAAATTGATTCATCTGAGATGCTCCAAAACCAAATTCGTAATCATTTTTGCAATGTTCCTGCTGGTGCTCAGGAACATTTTTATTTAGAAAAATGGAAAATTATAATAGTGCCTTAGTGGTTTTGATATTCCGAATTTCTTGTGTGTGAATAGTTTAGGTGCAAATCAGTTCAGATCTGTAGAATATCGTAAAATAAGACAATTGCTGCTGGAAATTGGCAAGATGTTCATCGAAAAATGCTTTAAATTGCGTTGTAAAAAATCCTTATTCTGATGCAAACAAACGGTTTGGTTGACGTTTCCTCTCGAACTCGCCTGGTGCACTCTGTGAGCTCTTGGGACAGGTTAATGAAGTTGGGGAAAAATGCGTTAGGTATTCAAAAAGATTACCGGAGAACAATAAAAAACGCACGCCGTCTCGGTTACAAGTGTATTAATGTTCAGAAAAAGGGAAAACAGTCTGTTTGTCTCTAATAGATGCTTGCACGTTAGAGGGGCGCGCCTGTGCTGCCAATGTGAGAGAAGACAGTCGCTCTATTCTATCACTCCTCCTCGACGGTACACACAAAAAACGAAAATTGTATCAGTAAAAATATTAACCTTTCAATTCAAAAGTACACAAGCATTCGTTACTTGAACTATGAAAATATTTGAAACAACAAGATTATTTTATGCAAATTTTCAAATCAAAAATTGTTTTACTGTCAGAACTACTTCTTCGGGGGTAGGTTTCTACTCATTTCTGGTTAGTTTTTGAATAACGTGCGTGAATAAAAAGAAAAACGCGTAAAGCTGGAATATTAATTTCTATTCGACCAGTTTTCAAATTAAATCTCTGCTGCATTCACCGGATCATCCGTAAGCTAGACGGGCTGAAAATAAATACGAAATCTACGGCTATACCACAGGATGAATATGGTAAGTATTTCTACAATAATGCCTTGTTCAGACCAGAGACGATGTTTTATAAGAGACGCGTGGAGAGAATAAAAGTAAATCTGGTTGCACGGCCAAGAAAGTTATTTTGTTTGCAAGGTTTGGCAACCCGCAATTTTGTGTTAACTTCGAGTGACTTTAAATTTGAGCGAATATCTTTTCAATCGTTTCGGTAGTATCGGTATTCCAACGAAGTATTTGAATAATCATTATTTGACAACACTGAGTGAAATCAAATATACTACATTGGAGGGGATATTTTACAGAGCGTTGCACAAAATTATGAAATCTGCGATTCATGCTTCCTACCCTGTATGAATGAAATCTCGATTTCATTTTCGAATGGACGTATCTGCTTTTGAAAACAATGCATTTACTCGTCGATTTGGCATAACTGATAGTTCACCCACGCATGCTTATAACATAGAGGTAAGTCTAAGACTAGAAGGTCTCGAAATAACGTGCTCAACTTTTTTTCTCAGCTCTGGTTCTCTCTTCGGTCCCAAGCTAATCGATTCACCCCTCGAAACATAGGAAAAAACAATAACCCCTCATTTTATCTGTCAAACTTTCATAGCGAATCAAAACAAACATTGCGTAGTACTAGAATTTCGACTAGAATAGGGTACGTTAATCGTTTGCTTGGGACCAATAGGCTAGTGAAGTAGTGAGCCAATTTAAAATCGTTAGTTTCGTATTGATTGTTGCTTATACCCTCGCTTATACCACCGTGGGTGAGCTACCAGTTACGCCAAATCGACGATCAAATGCAATGTTTACAAAAGCAGATACGTTCCTTTAAAAAAGAAATCCATTTTTAGACATTTTTCCCCAAATTCACTATCTTGACAGATTACACCGGAAACGCCTTGATCAACGTTACAGGACCTGTGTATATGTTTTTTGTTACACTGAAGTGCATATTTCGTGAGAATGTAACGAGAATACAGCTGGTGAATAACAATAATATTCCAGCCCGGTTAGCTACCATGATGATGCTATTGCAAACCACTATTTTGACGTAGGACTACGTCTGTGATTTCTATATTGGGGTACACTTTGTGAAAACCAAAAATGGAACATGAACAAAATTATTAAAGATTTTGAACGTTAATAACTCAGCTGCCCCTAGACCAATTTCAATAATTTTATCACCAACTGATTAGAAATATTTTTAACAACGATAGCAATGCTTTTGATTGTTGATTTTCAACATGAAACTATTGAAAAACTTGTAAATGTCAAGCATTGTCCAAAAGTGTCGAAATAACTAACAAATCCACCAATTACGTACATGCAAATGCTGCTTCCCCAACACAGTCATCAGAGAATCGTTAGTGGATGAAACAAGTCGAAGTGGCATTCGCCTCCGATCTTCGGGCGTGTGTGAATAAGGAGGATGCAATGGCGTAAAATTTTGCACACTCATCGCCATATTCCGAACCACACGCCCCCAACGACCACACAAAATGCTGTAATCTTGTAACCAAACTTTGAAGCAAGTGTACTCTACGAAGCACCCGTGTCCAGTAGCAGCCGGGCTGAGACTCTTCCAAGGGCCCATTTGTCGTAACACCTTCACAACCAACAAACATCAAGTAACCATAGGTAAACATTAAACCTCAATGACATTTTGGAAAATCTCTGATGTATTTTTCATTTTCACTCATCTAGTCTATGTGACAACAAAGCAACTACCCCTGTGAGGAAGTAGAACCATCGCTACGATCAGCAAAAGGAATAAGCAAAACGGTAGCAACCAAGCTTCTAATCCTGAAGCAACCGGGCCCAGAGGTATCCTTCGCTGCGCCTTTCCAACCACCGGGTTAACCCATGTCCAGCAGCAGCCGCGCCGAGACTCTTCCGAGTGCCCATTCATCGTAGCACGGGTGAGATTTCCCTCGCTACGGCTTTCCAACCTGTCGCAGACACCAGTTCAACCCCTGTCCACCAGCAGACGGGCCGAGACTCTTGCGAGTGCCCAATCATTGAACCGAAGAATATGGGATTGTCCGATCCGATTTGCTGATCCAGCTGCCTACACGTCATCATCATCTTCCAAAGGCTTTAAGCCTGTACTACCATTGGCTCTTTTCAGGGCCTCCAAGATTTTCCAAAAGAGTTAAATTCTGGATATGTCCCAACTAAAATTCATATCAAAAGGTTCTTGCCCTGGCATAGTCATACTAAAGAGTATAAACAGAGATAACCCCGCTCAAATTTCTATTCCTGCACAAAACACAAGCTCCTGCTGCAGTTAACAAATAACATTTATTATATAAGACCACGTAGTCCTACGTCACCATTACGTACAACCCCATAGGGCTGTCCATTGTAGTTTTTAAAGACTGTCACGATTTTCACATAAAACTAGAAGATAGGTTTAAAAAGTTCTGACTTTGTATTTATCAGCCATACGAATCCAGTGACATTGATGTAAATATATAAAAATGATCTCCAAAGATTTTATTTGTGTTTTATTTGTATTCCAAAAGTCAAAGAGCATCCAATTGCACTTTTCATACGCAAACTTAATTATAATCATTTTAATCTCAAAAATTAAATTTCATCCGCAATTTCAATACTCCTCACGCTTTCCTCGCGCGTCTCTTATTAAACATCGTCTCTGGTTCAGACTACAGAGTTTTTACGATAACAGAATCGCTTTTCTTTTCCGAAATTTCAGCATCTGTCAAAAATAAGATCATTGTTCCGAATTGGGCCACACCGGACTTTGAGCCATATGGTTGAAACAGTAGCACCACAGTTTAAGGTTCAAGCAGGGTGAGTGGATTGCATGGACGGCTCAACGGATGCTGATGAGGATGACGGAAAATTCCACAATTCAATTTTTTTCGTTTTTTTATTAGTAGGGGAAATTGCTCTTATGTTGGCCTATGGATCTAAGATTGGGCCCATCGCTAAAAATCTGCTGTTTATAAATTTTATATAGATGAACGCGTCATTGGGACGGTACTAACTAATGGATATTTTTGGTCGCTATTGAAAATTTAATTGATTGCTGAATTTATGCATAGGCCCAAAATTAGGGGCATTTAGGCCGACATTATATTAAAAATATATATATACCACATACTCGGCTTCCATTGTCGATAGACTTACGCAATCTTGACGTCTGCTTGTTCTTGATACAGGTCATCGACTTCCGTTTCCTTGGGTCACCGGCCCAATCAACGTCGAAGAAAGCTTCCAGAACTTTACACTTTCCGTCACCAAGTCTCAGCTTCCAATCCTTGGTCCCCTTGAGGAAGCGGATCACTCGTTTGGCTGCTGTCCATTCTACTTCGTTTGGGTTAGTAAATTTACGTCCCAATGCATCAACGCACCGACATCTTGTCAGTTCCAACTTTGTTTACTTAATTTTGGGTAGCCTTACTTTTGACGGATATGAGTAAATCCTACTCAAATTTGGGTTGTTTAGAAATAGCGTGTATCCGAATCAGAACCGATGACGACACGTACACTGCTACCATTCCGCTTTTGACTGCTGCTGACGGCTGACGGTCGTGAAGGACAAGGAATAAAAAATCCCGTAACAAACACCACACACAGCCCGAGAGGATAAACAAAACGCGCGTAAAAGCACCACTACTACTACTACTGCAACCGTTAGTGGTTCGTTTGGGGGTGTGGGTGTGGGACACACTCGAAGGCGGACGAATGAATGAGAATGATGAATGGAGAGAAAAAGTAGCAAGTGAGTGAGAGCCGCCGCCGGATTGGATTGGTGCTAGAGCTGCTGCTAGTGTGCAGCAGAAGGTTTCAAGTCGTGTTTGAGCCGTGCTACGAGTCGCACGTATGTTCCGGGTTGCTCCGCGTGTGTAGTGATTCTATTTTTAAGTGACTTCTTTGTGCTGCTATTATTTCCGAGGAGGACAAAACAATAGTAACTGTTGCTTTGATTGATCAAAATTCTAACGGGTTATAATCGGAAAACAATCGCATTTATCGGCCGTTTTGTGGAAGAGAATGGTAGCTAATTGAATTAAGCAGCTTGCGGTGCGCATTTGAGCTGGATTGGAGAAGAATTGGTAGAAGCAGAGTGTGGCTGTGTTTGTGTGTGACGGAACGCGTACTCTTCTACGTGCCAGTGCCCGTCCAAGGAAATCTCGTCGGTCGACGGGACGGATGGAAGGAAGAGTCCCGCCGGTTCGGACCAACGTAGCTACGATACGTGCACAACAACGCCCCCCGATGATGATGATGATGATGATGGAAATCGTACATGTGTGCCTCGGCTGGTGCTGATGTTGTGTTCAGGGCAGTAGGTAGTTGGAAGAATTTAATATGTGAGCTGCCAGAAGAAGGAACAGAAAATACGAGCTGTAATGTAATCGAGTGACGGATTACGAGATTTATTGAGAGATTTCAGTTCGACTAAGAGTTGTGATATAAACCTGGAATTTAGGTTTGTGTGAAACAGAAAGTGCTGATTTGCTACTAGAAAGAGTGAATAGTTTGCGTCCAGTTCGAGGATTGTTGTCGAAGAATTTATGTTCGTTTATTGGTATGTAGTAATTGCATTTCGTTGAAGGAATCCCTGTGCACAGTGGTATATTTTGTATATATAGCTGGTTGAGTGTATTGAATCTTTCAAAAAGATTAATTCCAATTTGTCACGAGCTGCAGAGCATTTGGATTCTAACAATAATATTATGGTGTTCATATCTAGAACAGAAATTTAAAACACACTGCTGGGTCAATTAGGTCAAATATATTCTTGGTATTTATCAACAAGTTGATTTTGGCGACACGTTTGCATTGTCTTTAATTTGCTTGTTACTGATGATTGCGAAGCTTTGTTCGTCTTCAGATATTAAGGTTCATAATTAATACAATTTGCGGAATGCTTGCAAATTAATAACATTTGTGAACCCTTACTGTATCTCTCAAACTTCACGAAATATCGATTTCTTCTTAAAGATGGGTGTGATTTTTTTTTAGATTCCGAGACTTTAAATAGTCATACTTGAAGCCAACGGAGATGAACTAGCCCGTGGCCCGTCTCCTGAATAAAGCTTAAAAAATATACTTGAAGACATTAACTCTCAAACCCCTAACGTCTGGCAGTGAAAAATGCTAGAGCTATCATAACTCCGTCATTTCTCAACAGATTTGTATCTATCCATCTAATAATACGCAAACTTATTTGTGTATTATTAGATTGTTTATTGAGCTTCAAATGATTGTGATAAAATCTTTTTATTATGAACATATTTTGTATTGAAATATGGTAGGTTTTTGACGTTTGAGAGTTAAAGTGAAATACTCTGATGTCGGATTTTGATAAATTTTGAAGATTCTGAATATGTATTAAAACGAGAGCAAACGCAAAATCAAGCCCATACCTTGGCCTTGGCAATTTAAAATTAGTTGTTTTCTAGATAATTGTTATGAGTATAAACATAGAGAGGGAGAGAGAAGGATTAATAATTTCCATTCAATTTCATTAACTTATTTGCTTATGCTTGACAGATACGCGTATTTCGTCTACAATGTGCAGACTTCTTCAGTGTCTTGTACTAATACTCGAGTATTTTGAAGGAATTTTGAAGAGAATTTAAAAGTGATTGATCCAATACAATTCTGAAGAGGATTTCAAAGGAGTTCAGGGGAAAATTTCGATGTGACTCAAGGTAATTCTAAGGAGAATTCCAAGTTGATTCTGGAAACCATTTTCAGGAAATCGACGGTAAAACGTATGTACCGTAAAGTGCCACAATTCTGCGCACTTAAGGCCTTATTTCGCGCTGTTTTGAAAATTTCTAAAATAATTATTAATTGTATATAATTTGAATTTAATTGTACATATGAAGGTAGGTATTAACCATTTGTGTATGACGAAAGTAAAAATTTAGATTAAATTGTAATATACTGCTTAATGTTGGCGAAATGCGCGGAATTAGGCGCTGCGCAGAACTATGGCACTTTGGGGTACTTAGAAAGTGGTTCTAAGGACAATTCTAATAAATTTGTCAGGACAATTTTAAGTGAATGTATAAGTGTTTTCCAAGCAAATTTTGATGAGGTATCATAAAGAATTCTAAAGAGAATTCAAATGGAATTCAAAGGATAAATCTAACTGAGGAAAATTCCAAGGGAATGCAGAAAATAGATGCTAAGAAATTCCGAAAAGAATCCCAAAAGAAATGATTTCTGAGGATAGTTTCAAGGAAATTCTGAAGAGAGTTCCGGTGGAAATCAAACCGAATTCTTAGGAAAGTTTCTTGGGAAGTTTTAAGAAATTTCTGGAAGTATTTCGAGGGAATGCTATACATAAACTTCAATTGAGTTTTCAGAAGTACTCTTAAGATATTTCTGAGGAGTGCTCCAGAAATCAAACCAATTTTTCAGAAAAGATTGAATGAATTTCTGGAAGTATTCCGAGGGAATACTGCAAATATATTCCAATTGAGTTTTCAGAAGTATTCCAAGATAATTCTGAGGATAGTTTCAAGAAAATTCTGAGGAGATTTCCAATGGAAATCGTACCGAATTCTTAGAAAAGTTTCAAGTAATTTCTGGAAGTATTCCGAGGGTCTGTTTAAAATAAACTCCAATGGAGTTTTCAGAAGTATTGCACGATTATTCTGTCGAGAGTTCCAATGGAAATCATTCCTTATTTTGAGAAACATTTCTTGAGAAGTTTCAAGGAATTTCTGAAAGTATTCTGAGGGAATGCTGAACATAAATTCTCATGAAGTTTTCAGAAGTATTCCACGACAATTCTGAGGAGAGTTCCAATGGAAATCAAACCGATTTTTTAGAAAAGATTTAATTAATTTCTGGAAGTATTCCGAGAGAATACTGAAAACAAATTCCAATGGAATTTTCAGAAGCATTTGGAGACAATTCTGAGAAGAAATGCAAGAAAATTCTGATGAGAGTTCCAATGGAAATTAAACCGAATTCTTAGAAAAGCTTCAAGGAATTTGTGGAAGCATTCCGAAGGTCTGTTTTAAAAATAAACTCCAATGGAGTTTTCAGAAGTATTGCGCGATTATTCTGTCGAGAGTTCCAATGGAAATCGTTCCTTATTTTGAGAAACATTACTTGAGAAGTTTCAAAGAATTTCTAGAAGTATTCTGAGGGAATGCTGAATATAAGTTCCAATGGAGTTTTCAGAAGTATTCCAAGATAATTCTGTCAAGAGTTCCAATGGAAATCATTTCTTATTTTGAGAAAAGTTTCTTGGGAAGTTTCAATGAATTTCTGGAGGTATTCGGAAAGAATGCTGAACATAAAATCCAATGGAGTTTACAGAGGTATTCCAAAAAATTCTGAAGAAAGTTTCAGGGAAATTCTGAGAAGAGTTCCAATGGCAATCAAACCGAACTTTTAGAAAAGTTTCAAGGAATTTCTGGAAGTATTCCGACGGTCTGCTTAGAATATATTCCAATGGAGTTTTCAGAAGTATTCCAAGATTATTGTGAGGAGAGTTTCAGGGATATTCTGAGGAGAGTTCGGATGGAAATCAAACCGAATTTTTTAAAAAAACATTCTTGGGAACTTTTAAGGAAATTGTGGAAGTATTCCGAGGGAATGCTGAACATTAATTCTCATCGAGTTTTTAGAAGTATTCCAAAATAATTCTGAGAAGAGTTCCAATGGAAATCAAACCGATTTTTAAGAAAAGATTAAATGAATTTCTGGAAGTATTCCGAAGGAATCCTGAAAACAAATTCCAATGGAATTTTCAGAAGTATTCCAAGATAATTATGAGAAGAAATGCAGGAAAGTTCTGATGAGAGTTCCAATGTAAGTTAAACCGAATTCTTAGAAAAGCTTCAAGGAATTCGTGGAAGTATTCTGAGGTAATACTAAACAAATTTCAATTGAATTTTCAAAAGTATTCGATGATAATTCTGAGGAGATGCCTTAGACAAGTTTCAAGGAATTCCTGGAAGTATGCCAAGGTAATTCTGACGAGAGTTCCAATGGAAATCTATTCCAATTGAGTTTTCAGAAGAATTCGTAGATAATTCTGAGGAGAGTTTCAAGAAAATTCTGAGAAGAGTTCCAATGAAAATCATACCGAATTCTTAGAAAAGTTTCAAGGAATTTCCGGAAGCATTCCAAGGGACTGTTTAGAATAAATTCCAATGGAGTTTTCCGAAGTATTCCAAGATTATTCTGTGGAGAGTTCCAATAGAAATCATTTCTTATTTGAGAAATATTTCTTGGGAAGTTTCAATGAATTTCTGGAAGTATTCGGAGAGAATGCTGAACATAAAATCCAATGGAGTTTTGGAAAGTATTCCAAGATAATTCTGAAGAGAGTTTCAGGAAAATTCTTAGGAGAGTTCCAATGGAAATCAAATCGAATTTTTTGAAAAGTTTCAAGGAATTTCTGGAAGTATTCCAAGGGTTTACTTAGAATATATTCCAATGGAGTTTTTTGAAGTATTCCAAGATTATTCTGAGGAGAGTTCCAATGGAAAGCGAACCGATTTTTTAGAAAAGATTAAATGAATTTCTGGAAGTATTTCGATGGAATACTGAAAGCAAATTCCAATGGAATTTTCTGAAGTATTCCAAGATAATTCTGAAGAAAGTTTCAGGAAAATTCTGAGGAGAGTTCCAACGGAAATCCAATCGAATTTTTTGAAAAGTTTCAAGGAATTTCTGGAAATATTCCAAGGGTTTGCTTAGAAAATATTCCAATGGAGTTTTTTGAAGTATTCCAAGATAATTCTGAGGAGAGTTCCAATGGAAAGCGAACCGATTTTTTAGAAAAGATCAAATGAATTTCTGGAAGTATTTCGAGGGAATACTGAAAACAAATTCCAATGGAATTTTCAGTAGTATTTCAAGACAATTCTGAGAAGAAATGCAAGAGAATTCTGAGAAGAGTTCCAATGGAAATTAAACCGAATTCTTAGAAAAGCTTCAAAGAATTCGTGGAAGTATTCGGAGGAAATACTAAACAAATTCCAATGGAGTTTTCAGAAGTATTCCATGATAATTCTGAGGCGATTTTTAAGGAAACTCTGAAGAGAGTTCTAATGTAAATCAAATCGAATCCGTGGAAAAGTTTAAAGGAATTCCTGGAAGTATGCCAAGGTAATTCTGACGAGAGTTCCAATGGAAATCAAACCGAACTCTTATAAAAGTTTCTTGGAAAGTTTGAAGGAATTTCTGCAAGTACTTGAAGGGAATGCTGAACATTAATTCCCATGGAGTTTTCTTAAGTATTCCAAGGTAATTCCTAGGTTAGTTTCAAGGATATTCTACAGAGAATTCCAATGCAAATCAATCCTAATTTTTTGAAAAGTTTCAAGGAATTTCTGGATGTATTCTGAGGGAATTCTGAACATAAATTCCAATGGAGTTTTTAGAAATATTCCATGATAATTCTGAGGAGACTTCATGGAAATTCTGAGGAACGTTCCTGCCAACATTTCGAGGGAATGCTGAACATAAATTCCAACGGAGTTTTCAGAAGTATTCCAAAACAATACGGATCACCATTTTGAAGAAGATATTCTAAGGTAATCCTGAAATGTATACCAAACAATTTCAGAGGAACTATTCTTAGGGATTTGAAAGAGTATTTTGAAGATCGTATTTAATAAATTTATGCAAATTGTTGTGAGATTGATTCTAACCTTTCTTGTTTTAATAATTGCAAGAAGAGAATTCTTAGAGTATTATGCAGGGGATACTAGAGAGAATCTCCATATTATTCTAAAAAGATTCTGAACAAAACTGTGAGGAAATCCTAGAGCATTTTTTTGGGAATTATGTGGAATTTTTTTTAACAAATCCTGTGAAGTTCCACGATATTTTCAAGACAATTTAGGCTTAGAAAAATTGTTTCCAAATCAAGATGTCGAACACATAAAAAAATCCAGGATTTGGAAAAATATAAAGATTCTGAAATTTCGTAATATTTCATGCGCCAGGCGAAAAAAATCGACCCATCCAGATTACCCGGAAGATTTAATGAATTTGGATTTTCGAGATTTTAAGAGTACACAGAGCTAATCTTTACGAGTCTACAGTGCGCAGACGTCATCAGTGTTATTCAAATTTAGATTATGGAATTTGGAGACATGTTTCAGATGTTTCTGCTTTTTCTTCATCGCATTTCATGCTTATTGCTTATCGCATATTTGCTTATTGCTTACTCTCAACTTATTCTAAATGCATTTCGACAGTTATTAATTGAAAGCTTTCGATGCCAATTCCAATGCCATGAATTACTCATGCCCAGGAAAGTCGAGAAAATTTCCAAAGCGGAAGATTCCCTCGACCGGACCGGGAATAGAAACCGCCGCCTTTGGCTTGGTAATACCAATCGATGAAATGATGGCTCACTACTTGACTAGCCTATTGGTCCCAAGAAAATCGATTAACGTACCCCATTCTAGTCGAAATTCTAGTACTACACTATGTTTGTTTTGATTTGCTATGAAAGTTTGACAGATAAAATGAGGGACTCGGGGATTTTCCTATGTTTCGAGGGGTGTATCGATTAGCTTGGGACCGAAGAGAGTATCAGAGCTGAGCCAACAAGTTGAGCACGTTTCTTCGGGACCATCTAGTCTTAAGGCCCACGCACATTAGATCCGGATCGGACGCGTTGCGGCAAAGTGACAGCTAAATCTATTGTCTAACTGTCAAATTTACGTCAACGCAACGCAAACGGATCTAATGTGGGTGGCCCTTTGGAGTTACCTCTGTGGTAATACTGTGCCTTTACTGAATTTGCTATGAGGCCCAACAAATAATGTGAATTTTCGAAGATCCCAAAACTTTTAAAAATTGCTCTGAGGTTTTTAGTTAACATCAATCATTCTGAGTGAGATTTTGGGACCAGATCTCATACTTCTGATCAGAAAAGTTTGGGCATGATCTCGTAGATAGGGTTTTTCCCCGTATCCATAGTTATCTTTAAATTTCGTTTAGAATATTTCTATAGAATTTTCATGGAGATCTCCTCAGAACTCATATGGAAGTTAGGAAGAGAGTTTTGCTTAGAATTATCTTTGACTTCTCCTTAAAATTCCATAAGCACCACAGCACTCCCAAAGTATTCTTCATATTCTACAACGCTTCACGAGAAAGAAGCGTTCTATGCGCAGCTGGAGCAGGTGTACGACGGCTGTTCGCAACGGGACGTCAAAATCGTCATCGGCGACATGAACGCTCAGGTAGGACGGGAGGCAATGTATAGACCGGCAATCGGGCCAAACAGCCTGCATGCCGTATCGAACGACAACGGCCAACGATGCGTGAACTTTGCAGCCTCCCGGGGTATGGTAGTTCGAAGTACCTTTTTTCCCCGCAAGGATATCCACAAAGCCACCTGGAGATCACCTGACCAACACACAGAAAACCAAATCGATCACGTTCTAATCGACGGGAAATTCTTCTCCGACATTATCAACGTCCGCACGTACCGCAGTGCGAACATAGATTCGGACCACTACCTAGTTGCAGTATGCATGCGCTCAAAACTCTCGACGGTGCATAACACACGTCGAAGTCGAACGCCACGACCCAACATTGAGCAACTACGGGACACCGGAGTTGCCCAGGACTACGCGCAGCAGCTGGAAGTTGCACTACCCACGGAAGAGCAGCTTGGCGCAGCTTCTCTTGAAGATGGCTGGAGGGACATCCGTTCAGCCATAGGTAGTACTGCTGTAGCGGCACTAGGTACTGCAATCCCGGACCGAAGAAATGACTGGTTTGACGGCGAATGCAAACTGTTAGTAGAGGAGAAGAATGCAGCACGGGCGAGAATGCTGCAACACCGCACGACATTGAATGTGGAGCGATACAGACAAGCGCGAAACAGACAAAACTCGGTTTTCCGAAGGAAGAAGCGTCAGCAGGAAGATCGAGATCGCGAGGCGATGGAAAATCTGTACCGCGTAAACGACACACGGAAGTTCTACGAGAAGCTAAATAGTTCGCGCAAAGGCTACGTGCCGCAAGCCGATATGTGCAAGGACTTGGACGGTAACCTTCTCACGAACGAGTGTGAGGTGATTGAGAGATGGAAGCAGTACTATGACGAGCACCTCAACGGTGAAGCAGCAGAAAACGAAGGTGGCACGGCAACAGACCTTGGAGCACGCGCAGAAGACGACAGGCTACCGGCCCCTGATCTTCAAGAAGTTGAGGAGGAGATCGGTCGGCTGAAGAACAACAAAGCAACTGGTGTAGATCAACTACCAAGTGAGCTATTGAAATACGGTGGTGAAGCACTGGCTAGAGCGCTGCACTGGGTAATTGCCAAGATTTGGGAGGAGGAGATATTACCGGAGGAGTGGATGGAAGGTGTCGTATGCCCAATCTACAAAAAGGGCGACAAGTTGGATTGCTGCAACTACCGCGATCACACTGCTGAGCGCCGCCTACAAGGTACTCTCCCAAATTCTATGCCGCCGTCTGTCACCATATGCAAGAGAGTTCGTGGGGCAATACCAGGCGGGATTCATGGGTGCCCGCGCTACCACGGACCAAATTTTCGCGATTCGGCAGGTTCTGCAGAAATGCCGCGAATACAACGTGCCCACACATCATTTGTTCATCGATTTCAAATCCGCATACGACACAATCGATCGAGATCAGCTATGGCAGATTATGCACGAGTACGGATTTCCGGATAAACTGACGCGATTGGTCAAGGCGACGATGGATCGAGTGACGTGCGTTGTTCGAGTATCGGGGACACTCTCGAGTCCCTTTGAATCTCGAAGGGGGTTACGGCAGGGTGATGGACTTTCGTGTCTGCTGTTCAACATCGCGTTAGAAGGTGTGATCAGAAGAGCTGGGATAGACACGAGTAGCACGATCTTCACGAAGTCCATCCAGCTTCTTGGCTTCGCCGATGACACCGACGTCATGGCACGATGGCGATGGCACGATTGAGACGATGGCGGAAACGTACATCAGACATCAGACAAAATGCATGAAAGCAAGAGGTTCTAGGGAAGACAATGTTAGCCTCCCACCCCGAGTTCAGATTGACGGTGACGAAATCGAGGTGGTCGATGAGTTCGTGTATTTGGGCTCACTGGTGACCGCCGAAAATGATACCAGCAGAGAAATTCAAAGACGCATTATGGCAGGGAATCGTGCCTACTTTGGACTCCGGAGGACGCTCCGGTCGAATAAAATTCGCCGCCGCACGAAGTTGACTGTCTACAAGACGCTGATTAGACCGGTGGTCCTTTACGGCCACGAGACCTGGACTATGCTCGTGGAGGACCAACGCGCCCTTGGTGTTTTCGAACGGAAGGTGTTGCGTACCATCTACGGTGGAGTGCAGATGGATGACGGAACGTGGAGGAGGCGAATGAACCACGAATTGCACCAGCTGCTGGGAGAACCATCCATCGTCCACATTGCAAAAATTGGGCGACTACGGTGGGCTGGGCACGTCGTAAGAATGCCGCACGACGACCCAGTGAAAATGGTTCTAGAAAGCGACCCAACAGGAACAAGAAGAAGAGGCGCGCAGCGGGCAAGGTGGATCGACCAAGTAGAAGGTGACCTGCGGACCCTTCGCAGACTACGAGGCTGGCGAACTGTGGCCATGGATCGAGTAGAGTGGAGACGACTTCTTCGGACAGCAGAGGACAACAAGGCCTTAGCCTGATTGGTAAGGTAAGTATACACTTCATATGAAGTTTTGGCCCTGTACAGGTTCGGAATACAAGTGCTTCGTTTGAGATTTAACGTGAGAAACATCTGTTGGTTTCCATTACTACTGTGAATTGCGATGGGTATTTTAAATTCTTTGAATGTTGAAATAATTTCAGCATTATAATGAACTTGTATAATTATCAATAAGCTCCTTAGATTTGTTGTAGGTCTAATCTCCAGTCTAACATAACGGCATTCGTGTGTCAAATCCAAGATTCGTTGGATTTTCTGATTTTCTCCAACTAATCTGAGGGGTTCGTAGCTATTAATTGTATTTATCAAAAATTCCCGAAACTATTTTCCTTTCTAACTAAATGTTAAACCTATCCCACTGTGCACTTGTACCGCACCGTTCTGGCACAGTATTCTGTTTATATTTATTTATTTACCACACATTGTCTAACACACTGTCCCGTTTGTTGGTTTGCGTTTCATTTTGCAGATATACCTACACGCATCGCAGTCCTACCACCATATCTCCAATTCCCGAAATCCAATACAGGTTCAACCGGTCTCCATTCAAAACCTACCACACGGCAAGCGTATTCGTACAATCTTTCCACCATTCACTCACTGAGCAACTGAGCTGAGCGAGCGAACCCATGAAGAATAATGAACAAAACTGCTGTCTTATTCAGGAGATGAAAAAAATCATAACAAGAGATCTATGATCGGTTCGAATTGTGGCTCTGCGTGAGTGTGCGTGTGTGTGTGTCGGTCCCGAAAAGTTCTAAACAAGAATAACATCATCAGGCAGGCTAGCAGGCAGACAGCCACACATCTGGAGACAAGAAGACGATCCGAGGTCCGAGCTGAGAGACGTCGTCGTTGCGTGTTTCGAAGAAATTGGTGTGTTTTTTATAGTTCTTTTCGTTTTGAGTTTTGACAAGTGAGGAAGCTTCAAAACATACAGGCAGTGTTCTGTGTAGCAGTTCGGAAGAAGCAAGCAAGAAGAAGTGAAATTGGTAGAAATTGGTGATTGTTTCTCGGGTGAAGAGAAGAAGATACACGCTGGGACTTGGTGAAGGTTTCGGGTGTTTTTCCCCGGAAAGCTATGTTCCCAGTGGATCGACAGCTCGGTAGCAGATCGTGGTGCCAGTAGTGAGGCTGAGAATGACGAGATGGCCTACGGGCCGAAGATTTCGCGTTTGTCGCGAGCAGCAGCTGAATGCCCCCGGCGATTTCCGGCGGTCACCGGCGGCGGCGACGGTGGTGCTGCCACCAGTAGTCGAAGATGGATGCTAGTGCTGATGATGTTGATGATGCTGGTGCTGTCGTCACCCAATGCAGGTTCGTGTCTTTTAGTGCATACTTGCTTCGTGTATTATTTGAGCAGCTGAACTTGGGTAAACGGAGGGAAGGTCATTGTTGGGGGATTTAAACTACTGCGTCCATTGATTCGAACCATCACTTACTTATGCGGTTCCATAGACCATAATTAGAACAATTGATGGGAATTCCAATTGGGTACACATTTCCTAGTAGAAAGGGACCATGGGGACTCAAGGGCGAATCAAATAAGGGCATTCCGCGCCAAGCGTCCGAGGCTAGCGAAAGCGACCTCTTCCGATTAGGACCAAATTTAGATGAGACACTTATTTCAGATCTACTTTTTAATAATTAAAATGTTTGGGCCGGAGTCCAAGGAAGCACTTTATATTTTTTCGTAATTAAAAAAAGAACTTATTTCTTTTGTCAATATCTTTGAAACGAAGAAATCTGATTCATTTTTTATTTTTGTACAGTGTTGCCATATATTTTTAATTCACGTTTGAATGATTTAAAAGCTTTTTATCTCAAAATGAATGTATTTTAGTTTTCAATTAGATGGTATAGTTGCGTACCTGATCCTTTTTTACATAAGAATCACTTAATGACAACAAATAAGTTGCGTAATTCCTGAGATATTGCATTTTGGATTAACGTAAGGCAAAAATTACTAGATAACATATATACATATTTAGCATTTTTATTTATTGCCGCTTTTAAATGGATTCTTTCTCCTCACAAATTGTTTTAAATGTGTTTTAAAAAATAAAGTGCCTAACGTTGGACCGTTTGATGTTTATTAAATATTGTAAGATAAAACTGTATTTTTGTGCTTGTCTGTATATTCTCCTTAGTCTAGCACTTATGAGAAGTTGTAGAGTTTACTGTTAATCGACTTTAAGTCAAGTTCTTAATCAACCATTTAGACAAGGTTGCTTTTCACACTGATGGCGCTGTTTCATTGGTAGTAAGTAATAAAAATCCTCATGAAGAAGTTTGGAAAAGTGAAAATTATACGCTTTTGATGCATATTCAGGTCAAACAAAGTTGACGACAACCTAAAGAAATCATTCATGGACTTTGTCGTTCAGTTTTTCCTGGAAATTCTTTATGAAGAGCTTTGAGTGTGTTGGTTTATTTCCTTTAAATTCCGTTATATTGCTTATCTTTTGACAGATACGCGTATTTCGTCTACTACTTGCAGACTTCATCAGTGCCAAGTACTGGTGTTGAGTACTTGGCACTGATGAAGTCTGCAAGTAGTAGCAATTATAACGGAATTCAAATGAAATAAACCAACACACTCAAAGCTCTTCATAAAGGGATTCCGTTAAGAGGTTCGACAAATTTAAAGGATTGGAAATTCTTGTTTAAAAGGTACTCTATTTTGTAGTATGTGAATGGAACTTTTAGGTTTTTTGGCTGTACTATCCTCTGTGAACAACTAATGGAAAATAGATTAGGAAAAATTGGTAATTTTCCAGATTTGAGTCTTTTTGATTTAAATTAATCTTTCAGGGTGGGCACTCAACAGGGAAAACCGGGAATCGAAAATAGCCGGGAATTTGATTGTAACTTTAAAAGATTTTTTTATGAACATTTTTGTCCGAATTTCTAGTACTTCTCTTAGAATTTTGAATATTTCGTCAAGCTCAGAATTCTTAACTTATCCTTAGTACGGGATACATAAAATTAAATCTGAGCTCTCAAAAAAATAGCAATGTCAAAGAGTTTCAAAACTGTGTCAAGTCCAAGATCGCAGGGCTGGTAGGAGGTCACTTTTTAGTAGCTAATTTAGTCACTATTTCTTCAAATTTAGTCACTAAAGTAACTTTTTTACGACGATGAGAGAAATTAATTTGACTTTAAAAAGTCACATCAAATGTGTTGGAAAGATTGATTAAAAACAAGGGGCAAGACAGCTGTACTCAGAGTAAATATATTTGCTGCGAGTAAGTTTGAGTTGCTCATATTTACTCAAAAATGAACAAAGTAGTCTCGTATTTTTCATCATAAGAAGTTCTGAAAACAACCACCGCCGGACAGAATTTTTTGTTTAAATATTTTCAATAAAAGGCCCAAACGCAATGTGGGCGGAAGCGGAACGGAAACGGCAAGTTTGACAGTTGTCACAAATGACATCAACATGCCTAACCGAAGTCGATTTGGTTCTAACTAGTTTTCAATCCGACAAGTCAGATCGGGCTTTTCCGCTTCCGCTGTCATTGCGCTTGGGCCTCTAGAAAAAATTTAGCATTTGGCGTCACATTATCAACTTTAATATAGCATGATGTCCATGAAACGGCAATATTAAGTTTTTATTATTAAAAATCCAAGTTACATTGATTTTGTTCAGGCCAGGGGCCTCTTTTGCTTTCTAGGGATTGATGATCTTTGAAGTTTTTCGTGATGTGGTGGTGTGATTTCAAGTCTAAAGAAGTTGTAATTTCACCTAATATTATGAGACAGTTATTTTAGCTCATGAAAATTAATACTTAACCTCTCGAAATCGATTTAAGAGGCTGCTTGTTCTGTGGAATTAGTTCCTGGCATGAGGAAACTCAACATTACTAATTATTCATAATTGAGGTGTACAGTGACCAGCAAAATTAAATTTACAAGCTTCCATAATGGAAGATCGATATAAATCTCCGGAAATTTTTTCGCTAGAAATAGTCAGAGTAAGGGTAAACTGTCACTAGAAACTTCCGTTGTTTTCCCTGATACTCTTAGAAAAAGACAGTTGAAAATTGTGATCAGAAACGGGTTAAATTTTCATCGCCTGGTGTTGTTGTGATGATCCACATTTAGCACAAATGGAACATCCTAAGTCACAGTAGATTAGTTTTGACCAACTTCATAATTGGTTCTATTCCGTTCTATCACTTACATGAGCGATCGTCGAAGGGATGCAGGAATTCCTTCATCTCTTTTTTTTGTCATGCTACTTAGAATTGTTCAGAATCCTCCATTTGGGATGACTGTAGTCCTCCCTGAGATTATTTGGAATCTCCCTGGAACTGTGCGGAATCCTTTCTGGGATTGTTTGGGATCCTCTCTGGACTGTCATGAATGCCCCTCAAATTTACTGAAATCGTCCTTTTGACTGCCCAGAATCCCTGTTGGGTTTGCCCGAAGTCCCCTCTGATGTTTTCCGGAAGCCGTACTGAGAGTGTATGAACTCTTTTCTGATAATTGTCTGCAGTGGCGTCACGTGAGAAAATTCACTAGTTGTGCACCTATTTTATTTATATTTTGTCTGTAATAGTAGAAGCCAATTTTGATGCATAATAAAAAAAAAATGGGATACAAATCTTTCGACGGGGCTACCTGCATAAAAAATAAACTAAATGATGATGGGAAACAGTTCTGCTACCAGTTTTGCTTACTCTTGCATAGTAACATTGATTTTCTTTTTAAGTCTCATGTTTATGATATTTGTCATCGTTACTCACCTTCTGGCAAACGGTCTTTTCAGGAGATCATCAACAATATCCTGTTCCATGATTCCTATTGAATTTTGGACTATGCTATGAACAATTCCATCAATGTCCTGAGGCTACTGAATGAAATGCAGACATGGTAGTGAGAAAATTCAAAAATTTAAAAATTCGATGTGTGCGTGTAGGTAGACGGCTGACGGCTCTCCAAGATTCAATCAATTCAGAGAGAAACTCAAATGCGACGTAGCCTATACGTGCCAAAAATTCAAAAATTTAAAAATTCGATGTGTGCGTGTAGGTAGGTATACAACGAATGACGGCTCTCCAAGATTCAATCAATTCAGAGAGAAACTCAAATGCGACGTAGCCTATACGTGCCAATTTATTCTCTTCTCTTTAAACTGTGCAAAGATAGAAGTGCACAAAATAAACACTAACACAGCGGCAATTATGCTTACGGGACTTCAATACATATACAACTGATCTGGTTGTAAATACGAGCGTTTCTGGTGCACAAGCATAAGTGCACAGACTGGGAGAACTTAGCATGCGGTGGCTTTGGTAGAACGAAGGCATATTTTCCTTGCTTGTTTTGTGTCGCTCATTCGCCATAGAAGCCCAAAAAGAGTGTTGTCTACACGTGGTAAAATCCCAGCGTGCCCGTACGTGAAAACAAGATCGCTATGCCTCGCTTCTGTTTTACGTACATTTCTTTCAGTGGTGGGTAAAACGGAGGTTGAGCAGCGATGTGGTAAACAATTCAGCTACTATCCAGTGATGTGGTGGATAATTCAGTTACTATCCATATGAAACCAATAAATAGGGCGGACAAAAATGGTTTTAATTGAACATTAAATTTTTGCCTCTTAATTTTTATGAAATATAAATTTTACTTTTTGAAAATTTGAGACTGTGCAGTGCACGAGGTGCACATATGGACGAGACGCCACTGATTGTCTGGAATCACCCCCTAGGCCAGTTCAGAGTCCCTCCGTCATAAATCCCCTTTTCGATTGACTGGAATCCTTCCAGAGATTGTCCGAAGTCTTCTAGGGATTGCCCAAAATCCCTCTGGGACTGTCCTGAATCTGCTAATGTTTCGCAGCGGTCTATACGAAAGTGCGATTGCCTTTCCATTGCCAAAATATCTTGTCGGTTACGCTTAAAATGTTGAAATACTTATTACAAATTTACAAATGCAATTACGCCCCTTTGAAATGTTGTCACTCAATTATCTTTACTTGACATCATCGGTTTCAACCAAACAACCAGGTTGCTATGTGTAAATGTTGTTGAGCAATGCAAGTTACTCAGAGTTACTCAAAAATAGCTCCGATTATACTCATGATCGAAAGCTGTCTTGCGCCAAGATTAAAAATGGGAATGTAAAGTCTGACAAGAAGAATTGCGAACAGACGGAAACGTTAACTGGCCAATTGATGTTGACGGAATCACTAATGTTTTCAGTGTTTTTACAATTCCGTGATAGGGGAAATGGCTCTAATGTTGGCTTATGGATCTAAGATTGGGCTCATAGCTGAAAATCTGCTATTTATTAATTTTATCTAGATGAACGCA